GCCCACCCTCTCCCTGGCTCCAAGAACGTGATGAGGTCAGGCTGAGCTGGCCCCACTCCAGCTCCTCCTACCACCAGCGGCTCCCACCACTCCCCCTACCCCCCACCCCCACACTCCAGGCTAGAAGAGGCAAGCCCTGGCCCCTGGGTTTCCAGAAAGCCTGGTCGCCCTGGAAGGCAGGATGAGGAGGGAGCAGCTTAACTTCCAGTGAAGAGCTGAGGGTGAGTCAGCCTCGGCCTGCACAGGTGTTGTCCTGCCTGGATTCAGGGGGCTGGACAAGATGACCTCACGGGATCCTCCCGTCCCCTGGCCTCCTTAATGGCCTAAGATCCTACAGAGACTGATGTGTCTTTAGCCATACTAGTGGGGGCATCTCATCAATGTTTAGGACCGAATCTCTCCCCAATTTGTTCGTTTTTTTCCCCCAGATTTGCATGGCTAGTCTACTCACTCCTCTTCTGCCCCAAATCACCGCATGTGGACACTGTGTTCTATACACAACTTTGTTTCATTTGAAAAGACCAAGTTCTGGATAGTGGTAATGGCTGCACAACAATGTGAACACACTTAAAGCCACTGAACTACACTCAGAAAGGGTTAAAGTGGTAAGTTTTACGTTATGTATATTTTACTACAACTTTAAAAAAAGACAACCAAAAACATATTATGAAAAATTTCAAATACATACAATAGTAGAAAAAAGGGTCCAGTGAATTTCCATGTACCCAGATTCAAGTATCAAGACTTTTGCCTTACTTGCTCGATCTATCCTTGTTTTCTTTCCTTCCCTTTTTTTTTAAAAAAAAGAAATCCCACACATTATGCCAGTTCACCCCTACATTCGTATTCATCTCTTTAAAAACATGAACATCTTCATTAAGTAACCTCAATTCTATCATCACACCTAATGCAACGAACTGATTCAAATAGTACTCTCCAGTCTGTGTTCATACCACTCCAAACACACTCATTCTCATCAAATACTCTCCTTTCCCTAAAGGATTTGAAAATGACAACTCCAACCTCTTGAAATCACAATAATACAGTGCTCTCTTTTGTACTTTCTACTGTACTATATGCCTTATTTATTATGATTACTGATTAACCTTCCTCATTATACTATGAACTCTACAAAGGCAGCTACCTTTATTTTGCTCACTGATGTGTCCTAGAACAGTGCCTGCCATATGCTAGAAGGCTCAATAAATCTTTGCCAAATGAATGAATTTTTGGAAGAACTTAGGACAATCTGTAAAGACATCTGAATGCAGTATAACAAGATAAAATAAATTTAGAATAAATAGGAGAAAGGAGATGAAATAATAGTAGAAGGAGGCCAGAAGAGAGGTTGGAAATGGAACAGATGTGGATAAGACTCCCTTACTTACTAGAGATAGGTCACCAGTGTGGTTCTGAGCTTCCTAGCAAGCAAGGCAAAGAAGGAAACTTTCTTTATTCATTTAACACATATACTGAGTGTTCATTACGCGTCAGACACTGTACTCAGACCTGGGGGATACAGCAGAGAATAAGACAAAAATGGTCTCTGCTCTACTGGAATTTATACTTTAGTGGGAGGGAGACAGACAATAAAGCCTTATAAATCCAGACAGTTATCGATGTTAGGAAGAATATAAAACACTGACAATAGATTTGGCGGGGGCTGGTTTAGCAGGGGTGGTCAGGGAAGTCTTCTCTGAGGAGGTGACATTTGAGACATATGCTGTTTTGACTGGTGATCCCCAAAAGATATGTTCTTCAGAATATCAGAATGTGACATCATTTGGAAAAAGAAGTTTTATTAACGTAAATAAGGTAAAGACCTCAAGATGAAATCTTTCTAGATTAAGGTGGGTGTTAAATCCAACAGCAAATATCCTGACAAGTGATAGAAAAGGAGAAGACACAGAAACAGAAAGAAGAGAACCATATGAAGAAAGAGGCAGAGATCAGAGTTATGAAGCCCCACGCCCATGAATGCCCAGGGCAGCCAGCAGCCACCAGAAGCTAGGAGGAAGGCATGCAATGGATTGTCCCTCAGCTCCACATCAAACCAAACCAGCTGACACCTTGATTTTGTACTTGTGGGCTTCAGATGGTAAAGGAACAGATTTCTGTTCCTTATGCTGCCAAGTTTGTGATAGTTTATTATGGTGGTGCTAGGAAAATTAATACAAGACCTGAAACGTGGGAAGCCAGCCATGGGAGGAGCTGACTCTAGAGTCTTCTAAGCAAAGGGAAGCCAGGGAGGAGGATGCCTTCGCCCACATGGGACCAGTGGGACTTACCAGGTGGCCACCATGTGCCTGGCCCATGCTGTTGCTACTGCTAACCTCTCAGCTCACCCAGGACCCCAGTTTTACAGATGAGGAACATGAGGTCAGAGAAGTGAACTGAGTTGCCCCAAGTCTAACAGCAGTTAGAGCAGCCAGTTACAAACAGCCAGTAATGACGGTACCAACAAAAGTAATAATAGTAATAGCGTCATAATAGTACAGTAGTAATAGCAGCGAGGAGAGAGTAATGATCCATTGTACTGAGTCCTGCTGTGCCTGCTACCACCTGCTTTGCATGTATTCACTCCTTTAATCCCTTTAATCCTCACACAACCTGGTGAGACAGGTACCATCATGAACCTCATTTTGGTGAGTGACGTCAGCACCAGGACAGATGCAATGCTCTCTTTGTCTCTCCCCTTCAATCTACAACCAGTAAAATATCCACAGCGCAACAAAGGTGCCTGTACCCAGCCCCCCAGAGTCCCACCTAGCTGTACATCTCCAGGTCAGTGGCCTGGAACACAGGAACCAATTTTACACCCAGGGGAACTAAGGCACAGACAAGGAAGGACACATATCCAAAGTCACACAGCTGGAAAGTGGAGGGGGAGCGCAAGCCCAAGTGTGGCTGGTCTCTTTAGGCCCATTTCAGCCACAGTCACCACTTACAACAGCAGCGAACATTTACGAAGCACTCTCTGTGGGGTCCGACTTACGGTGGAGCCTTGCCTGCTTTACCTCACTGAGTCCTCACCTCAAGCCTGTGCAGTAGGTGCCTCTCTGTGCTCCGGTTGCCTCATCTGTAGAAGACGATGGCCTGCCAGGAGGATTGAGCGAGCTACTTCTTCCACATCACTTAGGACGGGGCCAGCAAATAGGAAGCATTTGGTTAAGTATTATTCTCACTACTCGCGTTATTAAGGATAACAGCCCCAGTCGCCATGGCGTATCATAGTGAAAGTTTATGTCTGGCTCACATCATGGCCCGGCGCTGGTCAGAGAGGTGGGGCCAGGGCGGTGCCACGGAGTCATTCAGGGGCCTGGACTCCTTCTACATTGTGGCTCCACCTCTTCCAGGTCCTGGAGAGCCTCACAGCTCAATCAGCAGAAGGAAAAGGGCACGGGTCGTGTAGGGGAGGTTTGTCAGGAGCAAGGCCCGAAGGTGGCCTTTCTGACTTCTGCTCACTTTCTGTTGACAGCGTGAGTCATATGGTTGCTCCACACAAGGCAAGGGGGTCTGGGAAGTGCATCTGGCCAGTGCCCACAGAGAAGAGGGGAACGTGGAGATGGTGAACCCCTTGCTCGAGTCTTTGCCACACTATTACCATTTTAATTCTATTTCCAGATGAAGAGCTGAGGCCTGACTAAGGTCTCAGGGTTAATCAGTAGAGGAACCTTGTACCCACGCCTGTGTGACCCAGAACCCCCATCCCCTTACCTGTAGATCCTAGGAGTGAGCGAGCAGGGATCCTGGCATACCTGGTGTTTTCCCTTTGCCACAGGTCAGTGGCTGTGTGGCTGTGTCATGTGGTCCACACACTTTCATTTTCTGGTGCTCAGCATCTGGTATGAGCAAGAGGTTGAGTCTAACTGATGCTCACACAGCAAATTCACACAAGGGGCTCATCATGTCTGGTCTGTTTGGGCTTTGAGTGGAGTCTCCCGCTCTGTCTCCTAATGAGAGAGAGCAGAGTCTCCCCCCGCTGCCCTGGGAACTAATGCCAGCCCCCAACAGACCCTGAAGGTCACCTTAAATTAGTCAGAGGTGACTGGAATCCACGTGGTGGAGGCAGAAAAGCCTGAGAGTGGAAGTTTTCTAGACCCAGCAGAAGACCCAGGCCCTTTATGTGGATTTTCTCCTTGAGGCCTCACAACCTTATACACATACTATTATTACCCCCTTTCACAGATGGGAAACTGAGGCACGCAGGGAGGAAGTGTCCCTTGCTTAGGGTCAGGTAGCTGGAAATAGGCAGAGTTGGGACTTGAACTCTGATGTGTCTGAGGCTAAACCTTGTGTTCTTATGTACTCCATGGACTCTGCTGCCTCTCCGGGGCTGGGAGGTGGGCTTCAGAGCCAGAAAGACGCAAGCAGGCACTAGACTTCCTTGCCTCTGTGAATATATGGAGAGACCCTCAAGTTGAGGGCCTGGGACCCACCCAAGTCCAAACCAGAGCATATTTTTTCTCCCCAGCACCTGAGAGACAACAAGAGATGTAGGTGTGGGGCCAGGAAACAGGGGCCCACATTCCAGACCCCACACACCCCTCCATCCCCACCCTGGGCTTCCCACTTCACAGCTCCTAGGTCTCCTCGTGGGCAATTCTTGGCATGTGTATGTGCTCAGTAAATATTGGTCAAATAGATGAGAGAATGAACTAAAGAATGAAACGATAAGTCTTTTCTCTCAACGTTATCCTGCTTTTTCTCTCGTGTTACTGTATTTTGCATTTCATCAATTATAAGAAGCACATTTTCCCACCTCTGCAGTCGAGTCAATCAATCTCACAATTGCTGTTGAGAAGGTGGCAGTCACGATAAAATTGTCACTGCCTAAAAGATATCTTGATCCACTTATTTCAACTCTATTTTTTCTTTTTATGTACACAGAGACAATATGTTATATGACAAAGAAAGCTTTCCAATGCTAAAAAAAAAACAAACACCCTAAGTGATAACAGCTTTCTGTCAGTTTAATTGGCAGAGTTGGTTCTGTCTTGGTAGCACATGGATTGATGGTATGTTCTTCTGATCCATAACATCTTGGTGCCAATGGAACATAGCATGTCGTGAGCCTCTGGCCACCAAGAATGAGAAAGGCTAACCAGCACTGGGCTCTTCCCAGGCTTTACATTCACTACCTAATAACCTAGACAATTACTACCTAGATATTATTAATTTCATTTCAGCAATGGGGAGACCAAGGTACAGAAAAGTGCAGTAACTTCTTCAAGGCCACCCAGCCAGTGAGAAGGAGAGCCAAGACTTGGCCAGCAGCCATTTCACATGGGAGCCTGGGTGCCAACCACTGGCCCACTCTGCCTCCCACTCCAGGGTGAAGAGCAGCGTGTGGTTATCACTTCCATTTTAAATACCTGGTGGGGTGATGTGCCAGGCCGCCAATGTTTCTTGAGCACATACTGTGTGCTGAGTGAGTCCTGTACTCGGGGCCACAGGGAATCCCAGAGAAAAGACCCTAGGCCTTTCTAGATGCTCCAGATCATGCTAGGTGTATAGAATCTTCTCCCACCATACTAACTTTAAAAATCCATGCAATGGCCAGATGGTTTCAGTGCAAACTCGGTACTTTAAGTGATAGTAGGAGCAGAATGGAGGGGCTCAGCCTGGGGGACAATCCAATAGGGCATCACGGAGATGGTAGCTTAAATCTATGTATGTCTTCCTGGGCTTCAACCAGGATCTAACAGTGCAGCTGCCTTCCCAAGACAGCAGGAGGCAGATTTTTCAGGGAGGTGCCTTTACCCACAATCTGCTTCAGCCCTTCCTGGCTGTCTCAGCTGGCACTTCAGCCCAGACCTTGGCCCTGGCCCCTCTCCTGAGCCTGGCAGTCTGCACGTCAGGGGAATACAATGCTGAGAGCCTCTTAGGGGGCAGACACCCACCTAGCTGCTACGTGCTCTCTGAGTAGGGACAGCCACCAAGTCTCAGATCCTGACAGAGAGGGTGCCTTCTCCAAGCTGAGGCCCCTGGCTCCTCCTTGGCTGGTCTGGATTCAGGACTTGTCAGTTCATGCTGCCTGATTACTCCTGTAGCACTAAGTTCAAGTCCCAGAACTGTCATTTACAAGCATGATGTTGGCTGAGTCTCGGTTTCCTCTTTTCTAGAATGGCGGGTGTTCACAGTACTGACTCTGCAGTCTGGGAGGATTCAGAGATGAGGCCTACGGGCCCTGGGCTCAACACAGTGCCTGACAGCTAGTGAGCACTGGGGAATGGGAGCTGGTTGTGGGGCCAGGCACTGAGCTGGTGCTGGGCAGGGTGGGAGATGCCTCTGGGGCTAGGGAGTGGACTCCCAGGCACCTGGGAGGAACCAGACAGTGTACCTTCTCTGAGCCTCAGGTGAGGCCTCTGTAGAACGATGATAAGAGATTCATGATTTGGCAACATAAACATGCATACAGCAGGTACTGGATAAATTTCAGATTTTGTGATGATCTTGTTCAGCTCTGGCCAAGTTGTCTCCATTCTTCAGAAAGAAAAGAGCACAGAGAGGTGGAGGACTTGCCCCAAGTCACGCAGTAGGAAGACAGAGGGTCCTCAGGCTGCACCACCAGCTCCCCCAGGGCTCTGATGAAGAATCAGTGGGTGCAGATGACAAGGCTCAGGCTGGGACAACTGCCTCGGGTGCCGCAATCAGCTAACAGCAGCACTCAGGACTCCGGACTCCCTGTCTGGCGTGTCCGCTGACTCAGACTTCCTCTGTGTGGCCACCCCACCCTGAGCAGGAGCATGCTTGCAAGCCCTGTTCCAGTACCCAGGGGGAAGGTTGTTCCCAGATTCCTAAAGGGAGGAGGGACAGTGAAGCTAATTTTGAGTCTAACACATTATTTCTTTGAAACCTCATAACCCTAAAAGTATGTATCAGGTGTCATTAGCCCCATTCTCTATAGGAGAAATTCAAGTCCAGAGAGGTTAAGAAATCTGCCTGAGGTCACACAGCTTGGACATAGCAGAATCAGGATTCTAACTGACCTGTGGCTGGAGTGGTAAGAAAGATGATACTAAACATGGAGACCTGGGAGTAAAGAAGTCCTCAGACAGGGTCTGAAGGCATGGTGGGCCCACAGACTCCTGAGAATCAGATCACGTCATGGTTACATAGGCTGGAAGGGGAAAAACAAGAGAAGGAGGAGCAGGAAACTGTTCGGGGATACTGAGTGTACTCCCATATCCGCTCATCCCTTACCACTGCCCAGCTTCCAACTGCCAGCACCTGCTTGCCCTGAGTTGCTAGGGCCCACCCTGTGCCACAAGGCAGGCCTGACATGCCCTGTAATTAACACCCTTCCATTCCTAGTGCCCTCAAGGGACCTGACAGGAGATGGCGCATAAGTACTCCAGCTCCCTGGTTCCTGAGTCCGCCTGTTTCATATCGTTTCCCAGGGTCCCCCTGTGGGACTGCTACCAAATGAACTTGGGTCTGCTCGCCAGACACCGGTCAAGAACTACTAGTTTAGATGATCCTGGAAGGAGATCTTGAGGTGAGGATCTCAGGAAGCATAAGTAGGGGAGCGGGAGTGGACGGGAAGGAGAAGATGCTGATCCTGGGTGTGTAAATGCAAAGCCAATCTACTGACACTGGGCTGTGGTGAAGGAAAGTATAGTGTTTATTGCAGGGCCAAGCAAGAACGGGCAGCTCATGCTCCAAAGACCTGAGCTCCCCGATGGCTTTCAGGGAAGAGCTTAAAGTCAGCACCAGGAGTGAGAGGTGTAGGGTGTGTGATCAGTTTCTTCTGACTGATTGGTGGTGAGGTAACAGGGAGATGTTTCGGGAATCTTAATCATCAAAATTCTGGTTCCAACCAGTCTGGGCTCTAGTGCTTGTCATCAGCATTTAGTTACCATCCTCCACCAGGGTGGGGGGCGAGTCTTAGCTTCTGCAGAACAACTCAGATAAGGGTGAGATTGTTAAGGAGGAACTAGGACTCTGGTTTATTGCTCAACAATTATTTAAGCTATGGTTACTTTTCTTGATTGACATTTTTCCTTTGTTTCTGCCTTCCTTCTCTTCTCTAATTGTTAATATCTTGTGCCTGCTGTTTGGAACTCAGGCCTGGAGACTAAAGCTTTTTTCTATAAACTAGAAACGAGAGCTGTTGGAGGGGGGTTGTTACCCAGGAGGGCCCCACAGGGTCCTACCGGTTTCAGTCTTCCCTTTTCTTTGATAAGCCTCAATTTTGAAGGGAATGGGAGCAGGACAAGAGAATTAAGTTTGGAATAGAGAAGTTAATCATAAGCTCGGCAGGGAACTCTGTTCTGAGGGAACTCAGTTTCAGGACAAAGCCCCCATTGCCCACAGTAATAACCTGCTCATTTACACACCTGGGATCAGCATCTTCTCCTCCCTGTCCACCCCCTGCTCCGCTACTTATGCTTCCTGAAATCCTCACCTCAAGATCCCCTTCCAGGATCATCTAAACCAGTGGTTCTCGACCAGAGGCGATTTTGCCCCCAAGGACATTCAGCAAAGCTTGGAGACATTTTTGATAGTCACAGTGGCAGAGGGGAAAGATGCTACTAGCAGGTAGAGGCCAGAGATGTTGCTAAACATCCTACAACGCACAGAGCAATACCCAACAACAAAGAATGATGTGGCCCCAGATGTCAATGGTGCTGAGGTTGAAAGTCTCTGACTAAACTAAGACACTGAGTGGCTGAGTAGCCCCTTCCTGCTGACCCTCTAGTATCCTTGCCCTGACAGGCATGGCCCAGCAAAGCCCAGGTGTGGAAAGGCTAGATGGCAGAGGAGCTAGTCTCTGGGGTCCCGTGGCTTTCGCCTGCCTCCACCTCTTCCCCTTCTACCTCCCACCCACTCCGCGTGGTTCCGCTGCTGTTCTGGCCCTACCACAAGATCTAGTGAAAGGATGGGCATGTGAGACAGGGCTTGACCAGTCAGAAAACCCCCTCCTCAGACCATGGTGATTGGTTCGGGGGTGGGGGGGCATGTGACTTAAGATAAGCCAGTCAGAATTTTCTCTGGGACTTTTCTGCCAGAGACCCTCTTTCAAATAGGGCCAGTGAGCTGGTAGGACATTTGCCTGAGGAGGCATCCAATGGGCACTGTCAGAGATCGCTGTCAGACCTGACTGAGAGATGCTCAGAGGGCAGAGGCCTGCCGACAAATAGAAGGTTCAGTGACATGACTCAGAACCTTCCCTTTTTTGGAATTGCTTTTCTCTCTTGACTAATAGGGCCTTGTCTCTCCCACTGGGTTGGGAATTTCCTGTTCTTTTATCTCCAAGCACCCCGCCTCCTCCCCCTTCTAAGAGCCTAGAAGAGGAGCCGGCCCACAGCAGAGTCACCCAGCTGCTCCTTTATGACCTGGGGTTGCTCACCTCCTGGCCTGTGGAGAACACCTGAGCCAGTCTCTCATCACATCGCACAGATGAAGGGGCTGTGACTGGGAAAGAAGCCTGTCCACCTCGGTAGGATCCCCTGGGGCAGTGGTCTTCGGTGGCTCCTTTGAGGACCTAATATAAGTTATGGACGGCCCCCTGGGGGCTCACGAAACTCCCCTGTCCTGCCTATTTTGGTTTTTCAAGAGAATGGTCTATGAATTTTGGACTAGGGTTGGATCCTGAATCTACTGCTTCCTGGCTGTGTAAATCTGAGCAATTCACTTCCTCTTTCTCAGCCTCAGTTTCTTCATCTGCAAAATGGAGAATAGCACCGACCCTGCAGGGGTTGAAAGGAGATGAAAGGAGTAGGCGTAGGCAAAGCCTTCAGTCTAGTGTCTGGCACTTAGCAAACAGTCAACACTTTGGGAGAATAATAATATTCTGGAAATATTATCTGTTTGAAAAATAAAGAGGAGACGCCCTGGGCCACCCCTCCCATCCTAAGCTAGCAGGGCAAGGAATCCTCTAGTCTGTGGCCAGCTGTCAGGAGGTGGGTGTGGAGGCCCGACACACTCCCACCGGGGACCTCCCTCCCCTGGCCAGTTGGTGGTTGGTGGTGCAGGGCCTGGCGTTTGCAACCCCTCACCCCCAGCCCCCCGCCCCTGTGAGTCAGCCTCACTCCTTAAGGCACAGCAAAACCCACGAGTCACTTCCTGGCAGCCCCAAACAAAGGCCTAGAACCCGCAGTCCAGGAACTGGCCCCTTATCGCTCCTCAGGCCTGATAAGAAGGGCAGGAGGGTCTGAGTCAGCCAGGGGTAGCTATTTCATGACTCTCCCTTGGCCTCCGTCCTGCTCCCAGCCCAACCTGGGGGCTCAGAGCCCCTCCGCTTCCCTCTCTTACCCGCAGTCAAGCTGCCCTGTGGGCCCGCCGTTCAGCTCTCCCAGCATCATTTCCAGAAGGAACCAGCTGAAAACTCTTGGGTAGGAGCAGCAGGCCACACAGTGGGGTTTATCAGATAAGCAGGCTCTCCTGGAGCCCAGGGAGTAGGACAGGAGACATGAATTGGGTGAAGAAGGAGAAAAAAGGTGAAGGGAGGGGCAGGGCCACACTCTCCCTCTGAGCGCTCCGCCTGCAGCCTCCTCTATGGCCCCTGGGCCTCCCACCAAGCCCCACTCAGGTCCAACTATCCACCCTGGAGCTAGAACTGAGACAGGAGGGAAGGGGGCAGGGCACAGCCACTCAAGGAATGACGGCAACCAAAATGGTGGAAGATTCACCTCCTAGTTGGCCTTGAGGGTTAAGAGGTTTAACTTCTAGTAGAGCTTGAGCTTCATTATATGCTCATTGTAACAGTGTGATCAAATAACATGCCTGCAGGAGCCATGATAGCCCCAAGGCTAACCGCAAAAGGCCAAAGAATGGGCGGTGGCCCAATTTCTGGGAATCCCAGCCCCTTCCCCAGGGCATTTGGATTGATCCCACTTGTAGGCCTGTGAAGCTACTGAGACCATAAAAAGTGACAGCACCATGCCTAGTGGCCCTTTGCGCTCTCTCTCCCCATTGGAGACGGCCCGCATTCTGTCTATGGAGTGTGTACCTAATTTTACTTTCATCTGAGCACCCAGTTTCCACACCTCTTTCCTTGCCTTTCTCTTGCCTTACACTCTACGCAGTACGTATCTCTCTAAATAAATCTACCTTTACTCAACGGTGGCTCACACTTGAATTCTTTACTGTGGCGAAGCCAAGGACCCACATTTGGCAGGGCGCATCCCAGGGGCTCAACTGAGACCTGGGACACAGTCCTTCTCATGCCCCACATCTGTTTTCCTGCATCAGAACCACCCTCTTTTAAGCTACATCTTGTCCCACCCCTGCTCAGAGCCCTGCTGTAGCTCCCCACTGCCCTTTGGGGAGAGGCCAGGTTTTCTTTGACTCCCAAGGCTTCATTCTTGCCATGCTCCAGATGGAGCTACTTACAGTTCCTGGAAAGGAACCTCGCCAGCTTCTGGGTCTTTGCTGCAGACACCCAGGGGAGGTGGGTATCATAACTTTCTGGGTGAGTGGTTGGAGCTTTGAGGGAAGCCTTCCTGGAAGAGGTGCCATGTGAGCTGTCCTGGTATTTGGACAAGAATGATGGAGGCAGAGGAGAGGGAGGCAGGTAATAACCAAACAAACTGATGACTCCAGTTCACTCACCTTCCACCTGAGCAAGGAGCCTGGCCTCTTTCCAGGAGGTGGCTTCTAGAGGAAAGAGCAGGAAGCTCAACACTTGGCAGCCGTGTGAACTTGGGTAAGTATCTTTGTACCTCTGATCTCCTGTAAAGCCACCTGTCAGGGCTGCCAGGAGAGAGGAAAGCCTGCAAAGTATATAAATGCCCAGTAGGTGCTTACGCCATCTGCTCTGTGTGGAGTTTTTCTCTGGAGCAGTCTGTGGTCCAAGTCAAGGGAGAGGGCCAGGCTTGGGGGGAAATAGGGCCAGGCCAACCCAGATTTTCCTATTGTTCCTGGCCATGTGTTTGCTTCTCAGGGCTGGTGGGAGGAAATTCTCTCCACAAAGACAGGAAGGCAGAGGTACTCTGTGGCAAAGGTAAAGCTCAGCGGTACCTGGTACAACCTCTGCAGCACCGGGAGAGCCGGGCGAGGGAATCCTGGCAGACACTCTGCCACCTCGGCACCTCTCACCCGCTCTAAGCACGTCAACTCAGGATGTCACAGAGTGTGAGACTGAGGCTCAGACAGAGTGTGGACCTCTCCTAGGTCACATAAAGGCCGTGGTTTCCAGTTTTGCTCCCCCTCCACTTTTGTAAGTTCACAGCCATGGACTGAATTTATAGAGTTTCCTAGAAGGTGGAAATCCCCCACCAACTGTGATCCTAAAAGAATTCACTTTATATACATAGGCACATTTTAAACAGCTTTATCAAAGAGTAATTTATGTGCCGTACAGTTCACCCACAGGGAGTATACTGTTTGATGAGTGAATTTAAACAGCAGTTCAACCAACATGAACCAGTTTTCAAACACTTCCATTACCCCATTTGCTCGTGTGCAGTCACTGCTACTCCCAGCCCAGGCAACCACTGGTCTGCTTTCTGTCTCTATAATTTTGTCTTTTCTAGAAATCCGCACCCTCTAGAAAGAAAGAAAGAAAGAAAGAAAGAAAGAAAGAAAGAGAGAGAGAAAGGAAGAAAGGAAGAAAGGGAGAAAGGAAGAAAGGAAGCAAGGAAGCAAGGAAGAAGGAAGGAAGGAAGGAAGGAAGGAAGAAAGAAAGAAAAGGTTAAAAAACCCAGGAACAACCCTGCTCTTTCCCAGGCCTGAAGAGGGGAAGACTTTGAGGGCAAAATGGTATGTCTGTGAGGGGGTCTGACCCCTCCTGGTTAAGCTCAGAGAACTGCCCAATGGACTAGAGGCAGAGAGGCCTGCATGGGGAAGAGCCTTCATTTCACAGACAGTAATCAAAGTGGCAGCAGCAACGGCTACTACTCAGGGCCTGGCGGGGCCCTGTGCTGCCTGCCCCTGGTGACCACCCGAGGAGGGGGGATGGGTCTGGATGCAGAGGGCAGCAATCCCTCGCTTCCCAAGGACCAGTGTGTGAGGTGCTGAGTGCAGATGGGTCTTGCCCCACCCAGCTCCGAGAACAAAGGCCAGGCCAGGTTTTGCTGAGGCCTCTAACCTGCTCTCTCTCAGGCCCAGCTCTTTCCAGTTCTAGCCAGAAAGGCTCTTGTTTCCAGCCTTTGCCTCTGGGCCCCACACTGCCCTGCCAAACTCACCGTGGGTTACCAGTGTCTGAAAAGGGAATTGCCAGCTGAACCAACATATAAGTGACTGGGGAGATCACCTTCCAAACGGGGCCCAGAGCAAGCAGCCAAAATAAAGCTCGTTCACAAAAGCTGGGCAAGTTTGGAAGCAAGGCTAGGGGCTGGGTTGGCCTTTGTCTGCCAATCCTCTAGGCAGGTGAAAATCAGACTGGCCTCCCTCATCCTAATCAGGAATTTGCCATGTTTTCTGGAGACTGGAGGGGGAATAGAAATTTCTTTCTTCTAGGAGGGAAGGGGAAATTTCCAGTGTATTCAGCAGGATAGCCTTTCTGACCCTAAAAGGAGCAAAGTCACGAGTCTGTGAGGGGAGTGACTAGAATAATAATAACAACGGTGAACATTTATTCAGAGCCTCATATGTGCTGTTCTAAGTACTATCTTATGGGGCATGGACCATTATCACCCCTATTTCACAGATGAGAAAACTGAGACCTGGAGAGGTAAAGAATGTTCAGAGCTACACACAGTAGGGAGTGGAGCTGGGACTCAAAGTCTGGAAGTTAGTCCCATTTATGCCCCATGCAGTACTGACTTCTGCCATGGAGATGCCTTGTCTTCTTCTGAGCCTTGTTAATAGACCTACAACCTACACTCAATCCTAGAAGCCCAGAGACCCATCAAAGCTGACTCCAAAGTTGCCCATGCTCTGACTTTCCAGCACCTCAAACTTCCCCTAGGAAGCCAGGGTTCTGTGATGCTGAGTAGAGAGAAATGAGTCAGGTCAGATAGCTGTTACAAGTTGAACTGTGTCCCCCCAGAAGGAGATGTTCAAGTCCTAATCCCTAGTACCTATGAACGTGACCTTATTTGGAAATAGGTTCTTTGTGGGTGTAATCAAGTTAAAATGAGGTCATACTGGATTAGGATGGCTCTAAATCCAATGACTGGTGTCCTTAAAAGGAGAGGGAGATTTGGAAACAACAGATATACACACATACAAGGAAGAGGCCACGTGATTACAGAGGTGGAGACTGGAGTGATGTGTCTGCAAGCCAAGGAACACCAAAGATTGCCAGCGACTACCAGCAGTTGGATAGAGGCAGGGAACTGGTCCTCTCTCAGAGCCTCCAGAAGAAACCAACCCTGCCTACACCCTGATTTCAGACTTTTGGCCTGTGAGCTATGAGAGAATAACTTTCTGTTGTTTTAAGTTATCTAGTTTGTTATGGCAGCCCCAGAAAACTAATATAGTCACTTTATCGAATCTCTTCAGTCATGTCATTTTGCTGGTTCCTTCCTTAATGAGTTAAATCTTTGACATGTGGTCACTACACATGTGCATGAAAACTCTTTTGAAAATTGTACTTCACCATAGCATAGACCCAGAGCGGCTTACTTCAGCTTACTCTGCACACGGTCTGCTAAGCAATGTGTCCCCACTGCCTAACCTCTATCCTTGGCACTGGGACGGTCCAGGCTGAGCCCCCAGCTCCTCAAGGATGGCAGTCCACCCGGATGGGGGCAGCAAGAAAACAGCCCTGTCAGCCTTGGTTTTTTTAGCAGCTCAGGGGGTCAGAGCCAGGTTGGCAGCAGAAAGTTGAGAGGTGTGGGGCTGGGGAGGGGTGACCTTTCCGATCCCAGCCACATGTGAGGAGCGGGCAGAGGAAATGCTCGGCACCACGAGCCGGAGGTGCTGCGGGCCAGGGCTCTGTGACACGAAGCAGACGGCCAAACAGCCCACTGAGGGACAAGTGAGGTCATTTGGAGGCTGACTCACTGAAACTGGCAGAGAAGAGTGTGCAAGGAGGAAGTCCGCTCCTCCTGAACCAGAAACATGCAGGGTGCCCAGGGTGGGCCTGGAGCAGGCGCTTTGCCCTTCATCCTGGGGCTTCCCAAGGGCAGGCTGCTTTCTCAGGACATCTTCTGAGCCGAGGCAGGTGATGAGATGCGAGTGGGGCTGCGGGCTGGGTTTGAATGTCATCTCCTCCTTTAACACCCTGTGTGATTGGGAACAAGAATCTGACCATCAGATTCCTAATTTGGAAAATGACCACCCACTAGTTCCCAAGAAGCCTCGATGGACTCAGGGCTGAGAAAGCACCTAACACAGGGCCTGGCATAATACTGGCACATAAATGCTTAAAAAAAGTTAACATTAAGTCATCCTCAAATGCAACTCCTTTAGTTTCTTTGAGGAAAATCACTCTTGAGTAGTAGGGGGAGAAGTGAAACAACTTGAGTAATTTTTCCCCCAAAAATAGAAAATGTTTTTTAATTTTAAAAAATTACTGCATTCCATGAAATCTAAGATGCATTTTTTCCTACATTTTAACATCTCAAAAACACAGATAAGTCTTACAAATTGGTGACATGTAGTTTAATTGGTAGCAGTTTTTCTCAATGGTGGTATATAAAATAATGGTGTCTTTCAAGCAATGACATCTTAGACTTACGAAATGTGGTAAAAAATTGATCTCTGCTTATTGTATTACGTTTAAACACACAGAAGTATACGTAACACAGGCTCTCCAAAGTCTATACTCCAGAGAACACCACCACCACCCTGAAGACAGCCCACATTCTGTGAAAGTGTATGTTTTCTGTTTTCATTCTCTTTAATTGCCCAGAAAATCTCTGCAGACCAGTCACTTACACCTCCTCCAGGGCACCAGAGCCAAATTAATGCTCACCTAAAGAGGGCAACACATTACATATTTGGATTTTGTGATCAGGACCCACCCCTACCCCCTAAAACGGGGCTGGCGCCTCCCCTGCTGCCGGGTCCTGTCTGGAGCGCAGTGCCCTGTGCCGACCAGAAGGTGTGGGGCTGAGGGAGTCAATGACTTAAGCCTTTTAAAAAACATATGTACAGTGCAGTTTATAGTTTTACTACTTGCTAGCAACAAAATCAGGGAGGTGTAGGGCCTGGTCTGGAAAGAAAGAAAGCGGTAGGAAACCAGAAATATGTGTCATACTCAAGAACAAGCCTTTAAACCCATGATATGATTTCACAAAACCACCAAGAGCCCTCATGCTCAGCTCTGTGTCAACTCAAGCAAACGGGGAAGAAGGAGGCACATAGTTTCTTAGTAAGCACGTGTCAACCCTGATAAACACATAGCCATTGTCAGGAATCACATTTTTCAAAGGAGAAAGGGAAAGTGACTTGTCCAAGTTCATTTCACTAGTGATCAGCAGAACCAGCCTGGAATCCAGTCTAGTCCAACGGCAAGCGAACCTGGGGCTCCGTCCTCCATGCCACATGGCCTCTGAGGGGATGCCCTCCACCCCCATCAGCTATGAACACAGCTGTGAACATGGGATCACAACTTCTACAGAAGACTGAAATGAGAGACAAGGGGAAGGAGGCGGGGAAACATACTAGCCTGGGGGCCCACTGGCTATGAATGAGACTTCTGTTTGCCTGCCCTGTGCGTCTGGAATTTTGTATGAAAACAATGAACTGGAAGGAGGTGAAAGCGTGTTCCCCAAAGCAAGGCCACCACACACACCCCCTCCTTGCTTTATAAAAGAACTGCTTTGTTTCAAGCAAAGCAAAGGAGAAGCTGGGGAATATGCTGAGATTTGAGGGAGTTCAGGTGTTGGGGGTTGACATACCAATGTCTGGGAGGAGGCAGCAATCAGAAAAATCAGGAGCCAAACCAGAACCGGGATTTCAGACTCTATCTTCATAACTACTCTCATGTTTGTGTAATGCTTTACATAAACTTGCAAAATGCTTTCTCAGACCTTTTCTCAACAGAGCAAAAGCTTGGGGAGGGACAAAGAGCATCGATTCCTTCAGCCTTCTCTCTTGCTGTCTGGGTGGCCACGGTGTGCTGGGCACTGCAGGGACAGTGCTTCGTCCATCACTGCCATCCTTGGGAGTTGGACAGGCTGGGCTGGGTTCCTGGCTTCTGCACCTGCAGGCCTCAGGACCTTGTGCAAGTTAACGGGTCATGGTGCCAGCTGTTTAAGGGTGAATGAGAGTGGCTGCCTGGCAGGATGGCTGAGAGGACTGAACAGGCTCCTGAGTAAGGAGCCCAGCTTATGGCAAGATCTCAGTCGACACCGGCCACTGGTGGTTATTACTGGTGAGGAGCTAACAGTAAGGCTGGGGGTAAGGCCTAGCCTGGAAGTATCTGGGTAGGTCTCCAGGATGTAAATCCTGCCCAGATGTGTGTGTGTGGGGGGGGCCGGTGGAGGAGCATCATGTGAGGCAGGCTGTAGACTGAGTGACATTCCAGGCTGGAAAGAGTCCACAGGGTTTGGGGGAGAGTGGATTGACAGAGTCCAAGAAGCTGTATAGCTTTTTACTAAAGTGAAGGGTTAAAAAAAAGATAACACACAACTACTGAGATCTAAAGAGGGCCACATCACATCAGCCCTCTTCCTCAACCCCTCCCCTGGGTCCTCATCT